AAATAAAAACAGGTCATACTTATAGAAACAAAGAGACTTAAAACACAAAATAGACTTAAAAAGGCATATTTTTAAACTAATACAAACAAATGTTGGAGTAAACCTCTAACTAGATTCTAAGGTGTTACTTTTTTCATATTTTATACTGGATGTCTTAAAACACATGTCTCATTTAAAGTAGAGGTTCTTTCCTCCAGTTTCCAAAAAATATTATTTTTTACATGTTAATCTTTTAATAGATGGCATTTTAAATCACTGGAATTTCCCTGAATCATAGTCTTAAGTTTACAAAATGCCTTAAGCCTTAAGTTTACAAAATTTGTTGAAAACCATGCATTTTTGTTATATTTACTTTATAGTAGAAATCCTGAAAGAAACTACTAATGAATAGATTAATATAATTTGTAATTAATAGCATTAATTGACATGCTATTCAGTATGTCCTGAAAAGAATCTGTTCTGTTAAGTATATTAACCATGCCCAAATCGTGTTGTTTATAGTATTAATTAGATTAGCAGACCCCTTTCTTCACATCCAGTGCTGATGTAAATTTAGCCACCAAACACTGACATTTAATAACACTGAATTAATGAGGTTTTACTGTACTCAAATGGAAAACCAGATACATAGAATATACACGGAATAACTGAACTGATGGTAATAAATCTAAGTAAAATAAATTCACAATGAGCTCTTCTTGACACACCACAAAAAATGGCATTAGTTAATACTTTGTTTCAAAATCCAAAAATGATGATGATTACTGATGTAGCATATTTTTATTTTCTTCTTAAGCAGTATTACTATCTCATTCAGCTAGAAACACTGGTGGCTTGAATCCTTATTTATTTAATATTTTGCTTAGCTACCAGCTTCATGATTATATGATCTTAGATACCTTTCCAGAATTTCCCTATGTGTATTTTGTCTTCACAAATAGTATATAAGCTGGCAATACAGAAAAAGACAGCATGTTTTGTTTTGTTTTAATTCCCCACAGCCAAAAGTAACCTGACACACAGCACAAATTCCCTACCTACAGTTTTTGAGAAATTCCCCAAAATTCCTCCCAGGAATTTACCCCCCATCAACCTGCCATGGTATCTGGAATTTTTACTGTCAAAATCAGTTTCGGTTAAGGTAAGAGGCCCATTGGAAAATACTTAGAGATAGGAACAAAGGGAAGGGAAAGCGATGCAACAAAGCAAGACACTCATCACATACAATTTAATTTCTTCTAAGTGTATGACTTTTGTGTAGCAAAGTTCTATAGCCAATAAGGAGTGTTAGGGCCAGTCAAGGAGTTAAAGGCAGGAACAGGCAGGGAGAAATGAACAAAAGCCAAAGTTTGAAACCAGGCCTGTGGAGCACCGCTTCAGAGAAAATCCAGACTATGTGGTGTGCTGGCGGAAAGCCGGGAGAGTGGTTATTCTTCTATTTACTGCCCTCCATCTTTTGCCGTATAGTTATACATATATTTTGTTTCCTTAAAAAAATGTAAAACAGTAAATGGATCAAATTATTCTGATTTCCAACAAAGGGCATTACCAAGATCTTGTCTATGAATTTTTATACTTTCCATTGTTTTTATCCAAGAACAGTCAAAATGAAACAGCACCAATTTTGCTAAATGAAGTAACTTTTTTCCTGAGGTAACCTAAATGAAAGCTTTTTGTCTCCAATGCTGCCATTCCCTTTCATTTTTAAGATTTGGAAAACTGATCACGGGCTCTGAACACACTCTAGAAGATGCTATGAACCTGAAAAATTGCATAGTTAGTTGAGACTTAAACTCAACCTACCTTTCTAAAGTTGCATTCTGGAAGTACAAATCAAGAAAGCCGTCACATCATGGTATTACTACAAACAAAACCACAAGCACAGCTTTATTTGTAAATAGCAATTTGTTATACAACAAAAGCCAGATGACACTAATGCAGATAACTGTAAACAAACACCACGGCAGGCCATGGTAATAATGACCCAAATACTTATTTCTATATGTAACCAAATACTACTATCTGTACTTTGTAAAAGGAGAGAAAGCTTAAGGAACACAAAATTTTCACCCAAGGATAATCCTTTCCCTGCATTAAAGAGTCAATCTCAGACCACTGAGATTAAGTTCTAACAAATTTTCAAGTCATGGTTCCATGAACTATGTCTTATCTAATTTTGTAAATTCAAAAAAATCATTTGGTCATCTGTTTTCCATTCGTTATACATGCACTCTCTACTCACTAAACATGTGTATAAGTGGGGAAATACTATTTCTTAGAGAACCGATAATCAAAATAGATTACCATTTCAAACAATTAGTTATAAAAATCATGTATGAGACAAAATGTTGGATCCACCTTTCGATAATGCCTTTTAAGCCAACAATATAAAGTCTCTAAGAAAGCAAAAGAAAAATAGCATCCCCACCTTAAAATTACGATTTATCAATAAAACTTTTTTCTATAAACAAAATTTCACATTCAAAATTCATATCAAGATCCTTATCAAAACAAATGCAAAATTACCTTTTCCTATTTTGAGACTTTCCTATGTTCCTATATTATCAACATTTCAGTTCTGCAAAAATATGTAAATCATATTTTTGGAATTATGGGGTGTTTGTGTACTTACAATAAAGAGCCACTTATAAAAATGTTGTAATACAGCATTGGGAAAAAGCAAGACAAAATAGGCATGGAATGGATGAATGGGCTCCTTCACAATAATTGGTAAAGACACCAAGCCAGAACGCATGGACAATTATTTTTACATTCTTCCCTGCTTGACAACTTTACATTTACAGGGAGAAGCCACACTTTGTGATTTAAAACAGGGAACTTGAACTTATGTGTGCACATATGAATGTTTTTTATTTGTTGACACATTTACTGCTATCTTTTGAATCGTAGGCTTTACATTACTTGTTTTGAAAACAGGCAATCTCAACATACAGATTGGAGTTACACCTAAACTTCACACTTTAGGGAGATACTCCCATAGCTCAGCAAAAGGTCGTAATTTTTTAAAATGTCAACAGAAAACCTTAATACATAGCCTAGTTCTTTTGAATGAATTTGAATTCACTGTTTCAACCTGAGGAGCTATGCGTGCAGAAAGAACAGCTGTGCATCTATAGCCCTACTTCCAGTCATTACTGCAAGGGTATTTCCTCCTTATTTTGATGAGTCTATGAATACTGCATTCAAGCAGGAATGATTCTAATACAACCAAAACAAGAAAAGATACTTTATTCTCTCTTTCTTAAAAAAACAGAACACAATATCCCCCTATCACCAGGAAAACACACACACACGCAAACTTTAAAAACTGAGCAAATGTGCATGGAGCAATGAACAACTCGGACACCCCAGGCCTTTTGTCTCATGGTCTCAGGGCTGCTGAGTTACTTCACCTAAGTGCTCATGGGGCAAATGACTTTATTGCCTTGCATTCTACTTGCATGGCCGCATTAAATACTATCTCAGTTTTACACACAACGCGCACACACACAAGCCACACCAGACAGTGCTGTTTCCAATTTCAGCGGCCCCTTGCGCGCCTAGCCCAGACCCCATCCCCGCTCTGCTCCAGGTCCTAACACCAGGGACGAGGGACACTACTTAATCCTGGAGGATCTGCTCCGTTGTCCCATCCTTCCAGGATTCGTAGGATGGTTCCTACCCGACTCCACCACGGAACACAAGGAGGACGGCGGGTTTTCCCGGGCAAGAAAGACCAGTGGCGGTCCCCTTCCTCACCCCCACGCAACCCGGCTTCTCTTCGCCAGAAACCCCAGGGGCAGGAGTATACACGATCCCGGGGCGGGGAGAGGAGCCAATAATAGGAATCAAATAGCCCGTTAACAAGGGGGGTGCCAGGGCATGGAAGAAGCGAGAGGGGTGAGGTTACCACGCGGGAGGTGTGCTCCAGCGGGGAACCATTCAAGAGCAATGACAGGTTGGCTGGGGAAGGCTCGGGTGGCGCGGGAGGTTGGAGAACAGCTTTTCGTGTCTTTCTCAGGGCCTGCGGGGGAATCCCGGGGCGGCGGCGGCGGGGCTCTCGGGTCGTTCCCCGCCTCCCGCGGCCCCAGCGCGTCCCCTCCGCCACCCGCTCAGCCTGCGGCCGCCCCCGCCCCGCGCGGAAGGAAGCGCCGGGCTCCCCCCACGCTCTCCCGCTCTCTCGCGAGTCCTGTGCAGGCCCTTTCAGGGGGAGGGGGAGGGGGCGCGGAGGGAATTGCTGCAATGGAGCGCCGAGAGAACCCTGCCCGAGCGAGGCAGTCGGTGGAAAGCCACGGCCACATAAAAATGCCATATTAATTTTTTAAAAGCCATAAATCACCCCTCCCTCTGCAAAAGAAAATCATAAACCCGATCCCATGCAAGCCTGCGAGCAGCCACCCACTTCCTATTTCTGTCACGGCAGCTACACCCTGCCAGCAACCACCCCCCGGGCGCCCCCTCCCGCCACCGCCACCCCCGCCGCCGCCTCCCCGCTGCTCAGCCATTTGCCAACTGACGCCCCCGTAAATAAAAATGCCCCAAGTGGGGCCGGGTGGGAGGCTTGGGGGAAGGGCGCGCAAAGGAGGGGGGTTCGAGGGTTGCACAATATCCTAGAAGGTCCGTGGCTGGAGCAAGGAGAGAACCGGAGGCGGGGGGAGGGGAGGCAAGCCGTGAGGGTTCCTGCGGCACACGGTGCACCCGGGCGACCGCGGCGCGCCGCTTACCTTTCACCACCCTGTCGGTCGTCGACAACTTGGGATCAATTGCCTTGGGCTCGGACATCTCCAGCCGCCGGGGGACAGCGACGCGCTGCTCGTCCGTCCTACTGCACACCCCGACCGGACCGGCGGGCCAGACAGTCAACGCCGCCGCCGCCGCGCTGCAAACCGCTCGGTTGGAGGTCTGGGCTCTGAGCTGGCTTTAAAGTTACTGCCTTCTCGCGCGTCCCTCCTCCTCCACCTCCTCCACCTCCTCCTCCTCCTCCTCCTTCGCCGCCGCCGCCGCCTTCACTCCTCCTCCGCCGCCACCAGCCCCGCCGACTCCGCTCCGGGCTGCGCGTGTGTGGTGGTTATTTATTTATTTTCTAAGCACGCCTCTTGGTTCTTCTTTTATTCTTGGGGGAAGGGGGATGGGGAGGAGAAGCGCACACAGGAGCACCCACCCTGGCAGGGAGACCGGGCACCGCGGAATGGAGCCCCACGCGCGCACTCTGCCGGGATTAAGACCGATCACATGGGAGGGCCGGGGGCGAGAGAGAAGAGGCAGGGCCGCCGATGTCAGTGCCACCAGCCGTGCCTCGGCGTCCCCGGCGGCGGAAAGGCGGCCGCCGCTGCTGCTGCTGCTGCTGTTGCCGCCTCTGCTTCCCCACACCAAGAGCCACCACTAGTCCGCGGCCGCCGGAGACGTCCCGCCGCTGCGCTCGCCCGCGCTCCCTTCTGCCTCCCCGCGCCGCTCCTTCGCTCACACAGGCACAGCAGCGGAGCTCGGCAGACACAGTCCCCGGCGCAACCTACCCTCCTCCTCCTCCTCCGCCGCCGCCGCCGCCGCCGTCGCCGCCGCCTCTGCCACCGCTCCCGCCTCCGCCTCCTCCCCTTCCTCCTCCCGGCCCCCGCCTCCAGCGCCCCGGCAGCCTCCACCTCCCTGCGGAGCCAGCCCCCCCCACTCCCCGCCCCGGCGTCGAAGCTCTTGGCATCCATTGGCTGAGATGAGCGTCACTCACTGTTAGGTAGCGGCCTCCCCGCTCGCCCCGCCTCCCGCTCCTCCTCGCGGTCCCCGCCTCCCGCTGTTTTCTCCCAGCTGCCAGGCCAGTGGGCTTGCTGCCTCTGCCGCCCAGTCCCCGCTCAGGTGTCACTGTTGCTGGCAGGCCCGGATTAGGGAAAGAGAATGGGGAGGGGGTCGCGGCTGGGAGTAGAGGGGCTGTACGCTGCCCCCCGCAGCCCCATTTGGCATCCGCCCCTGGACCCCGCACACTCCCCCGCGCAGCTTTGGCAGTTGTGCGTTGTCGGCTGGGTTAAGCCGCAGTGTGAGTAGCCAAGCGCGGAGGGTGTCTCCGGGTGTGTGCGTGGCCCTCAAGAGGGCAAGAAGGAGGGAGGCAGGGAGAGGAGGGAAGGGGGTGGGGGTCAGAAGCACCGAGAGAGGGCGGAGGAAGGAAGAGCTCGGGGAGCTCCGGGGCCCGCGGCACAGCTGCTGTCGCTGTCGCTGCCGCAGCTGTCCAGGGAGGATCGCCAAAACGGTGACGAATAAACAACTTACCTTGGGGAGTCGGGCTCCGCCTGTGATGGGTGTACGGTGGTTTTTGTTACTGGGCTTTTTCTGGGGGCGGTGTGGTGGTTATCAGTGTTTCCCACCCGTGCATCCACACCTTCTGAGGAGGGGGCCGCTTCTGAGCGTCGCGAGTCAGGGACGTGGCTGAGTGTGCCGGGCGGGCTCGCCAAGGAGAATGGGGACGGGAGTCCAAGCGACCCCCAGCAACTTTGAGTCACCCGGGACTGCCCTGCCGATCTCCAGGGAGAAATGAGGGGGCGGGAGACACACCGCAGAGGGTCGCCTTTTCCCTGTTCACAGGCTCACGCAGCCAGTGGTCAGGACTGGTGGCACCACACCTCCCTTCCTGGCTTCTTCCGATCATCCGACGTCCACTTGGTGCTCCGGGTATGTGCGGCGCCCTGAAGCCCAAGGCGGATCCCCACTGTGGTCCCTTCGGTTGGGAGAATAAAAGAGAGAATGCTAGGCGCGGGAGGACAGCATGACAATGGCCCAACAGCTCCTTTCTTACCTGCCTGCCCCACCACAGAATGAAGAGCCAATCTCCCTCTGTCCGAAGGTCACCTCCGCTCACTACTGTCCTCTCTCTGACCAACCGGGCAATGAGATTGGAGCTTGCTTCTCTGTGAACAACAGAGAGCTGAATAAATTTCTCACCCTCCATTCTTCCTGTTATATTTCTTAATTCCTTCAATATCAGGGTTTTTTTTTTCCTACTTCCTGAATTGGACAATGAATCCAGGAAAAAGCCTAATAAAAGATTTAGGGGAGCTAGGAGATGGAGCCAGTAGACAGATTAGATTAGAGTTCAAACTCGAAAATAAGTTTGAGAACTTGACTGATGGTCCTTGAGTATGGCTTGAAGAGTATAGCCTGCAAGGAACAGGACCTCACAGTAAAAGGCAGGGAGCTTCTGTGGAAGCCTTCTAACAAAAGGAGACCATATAGGGTGTATCCCACATATTTAGGGAGGCTGCCACCAGCTCCAAGATTCTGCTGCCCAATTCACAACCCCAGGATAGCATGTGGTGATTAGGCAGACAGTGCATTCAATAAATACGTATTGTGTTCCTTTTACATGCTAGGCACTGTGGTAGGTAATTTGTGTGTGGGGTGTGTGTGTGTGTGTGTGTGTGTGTGTGTGTGTGTGTGTAGGGTGTTGGGGGGGCAGTTATTTGAAAATGGTCCTTGCTCTCAATAAAGCCTAGAGTCTAGTAAAACTGTCATAAAAATATGAGCTCTGAGAGGCCACTGTATCGCCTCAGGAAGTGGTTGTTGAAAACAGTCTCCTGAGCACCAGCAGCCCTAGTTGCTAAGGCAGATTTGGGAAGTTGGTTCCTAGCCAGATGGCATAGAATAAGGCAGGGATGCCAAGCCTATGGGTGAAGAAGAGAGCCTGCCTGAGGAAAGACCAGGAAGCCATGTCCAGTGATGCTCACTTCCAAGGCCACAGTGTTTTTCACACAAGTTGCAAAGAGAGGTGCAGATCCCACCATTATTTGGACTCAGTTTTCAGGTTTAGGAAGAACACCTTTGAACCAAGATCAGAGGGCTTAAAATGTCAGCACCATAGAAAAGTTTTATGATACAGATAGGAAATAAAGGCACACCTTTGAGGCACACCCTTCAGTCCGCTACAAGTTTGGGACACCTCCTACCTGAGGTATGTGTGGGGAAAAAAAATTATGAATCATAATCACTTTACAACACATCTTATTTTCATCAGTCACCTTTAATACATGTGTATGGTCCCATACTGTTGCAACACAAACACCTCTTCTTGGACAAAACTGGGCCCTCCTCAAAGGAAAAAAACACAGCAGAAATTAACTAAGGACTAGTTACCTGCAAACCTGCATACTGGTATAGCCAAATCATCTTTCATATTGAGATATTTTTTCAGATGTCCCACGATCTGCTGCCATTTTTTTAAATCCTATTATACTGTCCAAGTAGTCCTTGATTATATTATCCCTTACATAAAATTACCTTACACTTGGAATTTACATTTTCACGAAGTTATTTCAACAATGTCCCTTGCTTATGAAGAAAAAGAAAGGAGAAGCGAGTGGGGGGAGCCCAATGTGGCAGAAAACAACTTGCAGTCTGATAATAAATTGTATTTCCCTTTCCTTAGTATACTTCTAGAAAGCATCTGCCCAGCTCTGGATTCCACTCCCTTGCATCTGAGAGGGCGCGTGTGCTAGTTCTGGCCAGGGGATTCTGGGCTGAATCAATGTTTGATCAGTTTCAGGTCAACAACAATTAGGCATCAGTTAGCATTTTCTTCAGCCAATGAGCTCTACTCCTTTAGCTGAATGCAGAGGCTTCTAGGGCACAGGGGAAAGCATAACCCTAAATGGAAAGAGCTGAATGACTAGATTACCACCTATAGGAATGCTGCCCATCTACAAAGAAAATCTGCTTTAGACTTTACAAAAGAAGAAATAGATTTTTACTGAGTGCTCCACTGGAATTTGAGGATATGTTTGTTAGGGTAGTTTGTTAGTATTTGTTAGTATTTTGTTATTAATTTGTTAATATTTGTTAGTAATTTTTAGTTGTTTTATTTGTTAATATTTGTTAGTAATTTGTTAGTATTCCCAAATTAATACACAAGAGTTATTACTATGTTAGCTCAAAAAGTAAAATCCAGAATTATCGTGCATCTGTTATATAACAGCATGACCAGAATACCAAAAATATTCTTATTTCTTTTAATACACAAGCATCAAAATTGTATATTTTGTAGATGAATTATTCATTTACCAGGTGTGTTTTGAACACCTGTTCTGTGCAAGGTACTATACTAGGTGATGCAAAATGTATAAAGAATTAGAAGATTTAGTCCCTTCCTTTGAGAATCTCAAAGTCTTGTAATATAAGAATTGTACACATATTTGTAAACATTTCAGTGTCAGGTGCAACTTCCTCTCATTATTGGAGAACTCAAACTAATTTTACTATTCACTTCATCTAAATGAATTATGAAGATAAATACGTGTGCAAAAAAAATACTGAAGATTTGGAATAATCAATGCATTCAAGTGTTCCATGTCACAGCTTACTTCTTTTGGTGTAAATCAGAGTAAATGAACAATATTTTAGTTTGCTGTCAAGTGTTCTGGTAGGTCTAGAGACATTTTTCTTCTACAGAAAAGAAAAAAAAAGATATATTTTATATCCTGTTTTGAGAATAACCTGCTTTCGAAAATGTGGACTTTCCGTTCTTGGATGAACATTCTACCATTTGACATGAAGAGTTGCATAATAACGTCTGGTTTTGGCTCTTGTGAGGCATGCACTTCGTTCTGAGTAGCCGATGGTCGACAGCAATATGTCTGACCTGTTCTCACCTGCACTGGTGGAGCACAACTCTGAAGAACTTGCCGCGTAAACAGTCAGTCCTGATAGGGCCATGAATGTGTGCGAGAATTTGATTTATTATTGTAAAGCTAATTCCTCTGACACTCCCTTCCAACTTGTGAACTTCTACCCTCTTCACAACAGAGACTCTACAAAATATATGATCCAACATGGATTATACTCAAGATTTAAACTAAAAGGGCTTTTATTTTTTATCTTTTGGATTGCTCTTGAAATTTTGTTGAACCTTTTATTTTTCAGAAGGCAATTTTACTCATTTTAGGAAAGTTATTTCCCCAAGAACATAAAAAATTGTTAGGCCAAATGTATTCGGTAACAAATTAAATTTTTTCTATTAGGGGCCAAACTATAACTTATAGAATTATATGCTAAGTTTAATACGAAGTGGTCATATTTTACATTAAATTTGACCAAGACTTCAGGTGATCATATTCGTGCAGATTTAGTAAACATCTATTCATATTATTGTTTTATTTATATTTGTATCTTCATCTTATATCCCAGTTCTGAGCACAGAGTATGTGCTCAACCAATTTTTTTAATTTAAAAAAGCATTTTAAAATGTATTGGCATCCAATATGTGAAGCCCTAGGCTTAATACCACAGTATCTGCTCTCAGGGATATTTCAATATTACTAATATACATACATATATGTGTGTGTATATATACGTATCTCTCTCTCCATATATATGAGTGTGTATGTATATATATACATACACACTCATACACACTCACACACTCACTGGTAAGAAGTCTTATTAGCCCTTTCTCCTAGATCTTAAATTCTAATTTTATGATTAATTTAAAAATTATGAATAGGTTGGGGCGCCCGGGTGGTTCAGTGGGCTAAAGCCTCTGCCTTTGGCTCAGGTCATGATCCCAGGGTCCTGGGATCGAGCCCCGCATCGGGCTCTCTGCTCAGCAGGGAGCCTGCTTCCCCCTCTCTCTCTCTGCCTGCCTCTCTGCCTACTTGTGATCTTGTCAAATAAATAAATAAAATCTTGAAAAAAATATGAATAGGTTAATGGTGCCAAGTCATAAATGTTTACAT